TGGAATTTGTCCTTTGTTTTTCTCATGATTAGAGTGAGGTTATGAGTTTTGGAGAAGATGCCCATAGAGGTAAAGTGCTATTTCATTATATCGTATCAAGGGTACATACTATCAACATGATAGATTAATATAATAGTAATATAATAATATGATATGATACATTACATGATTAGCTTTAATAGTTTATATGTTTTATTGGTTTGGTTTTTTGTGGTAGAACCAGCTCTTGAGTTTTTGCTTAGTTCTATTATTTACCTATTTTATTATGCTCCATTCATTTTTAAAAATTTAATATCATAAATATACCAGCCATGATTTCCTCTGAGAACTGCTGTAGAGGCATCCCGCAGGCTCTAGTATATGGAATGCTTTTTGTTATTGTTGTATTCCAGATATTCTGCAATTTCTGTATGGATTTCCTTTTTGATCTGAGTCGGAGTCAAGTTGTTTAAAGAATTTTTTAAAATGCCCAAGTGATAGGATTTTGTGATCTATAATTTTATGATTAATTTCTAGTTTTCCTTCTGTGTTATCAGATACTGTATTATTTTTGCTTTTTTGGAAGTTTCATTTGTGACCTAATATACCATCAAAAAAATTTGATGGTTCCATGAACACTTGAAAAGAACATGCATTCTTTGTTTTCAAGGTATAGAATTTGATGAATACACTAATTAGATCTGTCTTATTAATTATGTAATTTGGTTTTTCTATGTGTTTACTTAATTTTGGTCCATTGGTCCATCATGAGCTAGAAGAGGGAAATTAAAATTATATGCCTCTGATGTGTATCTGTCTAAGGTCCCTCCTTATATTTCCTCTTGCTTTTGCTCTGAATTTTGGTGCTATTTGGTGAGTTCAGTCTTCAACTGTGGATCTTATTCTTTATTAAGTGTTCTTGTCTCACTTAAAATCTTTTGTCCTGAAATCAACTTTACTTGCCTAATATTCAGATTACAGTGCCTGCTTAGTTTGAGTTCACACTTCCCTGTTATGTGTTTGCCTTTCGTTTATTTTCAAAATTGTTGAATCACTTTGCTTTGGGGAATGTCTCTTATATGTAGCATATGGTTGGGGGTTTTGTGTTGTTCCCCAGTCTTAGAATCTTTTTTTAGCAGTTTACTACAGCCATTTAATGACATGGGTAATATTTTGGTCTTAGTTTACTATCATATTTCATGCTTTTATGCCTCTCTTGCTTTCAAACAAAATCTTTCAGTACATGGTCTGTTTTATTTTGTATTGTGTTCAAGGTTTGTATTTGCAAGATGTGTATTTTTATTTTTAGTTCTGGAGATTACCTTTATAACTAGGGAAAATGGATTTAATCTTTTGTTGAGCCCATGCTAGTTGTCTCCCTTCTGAAATAATCAATTATAAAATTAGTTTACAACTTTGGTTCCCATTTTTATCTGCTTTGTGACAGCTTTTTTTCAGGTGAGTTTACTTGGTTTGCCGTGTTTTGTCCTTTTCGTTTATTCCTTTCTTTCTTCTATAGCATCTTCGACTATATCCTGTGCTGGTTCCTCTTTGAAAGAGGTGAACCTTCTTGGATCAGCATTTTGCAGGAGACGCATGTGGAGGAGGTACCAGGAAGAGGGTAGGATTGCTCCCTGGTTCCCAGGAACTTTGTTCACAGGGTTGTCTTAGTGATTTCCTTTAGTCTTTGCTTCTACTCAGTCAGCAGAGTTCCCCAGCTGTGGGCTTTTCCCAATTCAGAGCCCTGCTCTCACTCTGCCTCACCAACACACTGCTTCCTGTGAAAATGGCGGGTCTGTGGTTTCCTCTGTTGGCCCTGCCCTCCTCTTCCTCCAAGGCGTAGGAGGCAGCTGCCACTACCAGACCACATGCCCTGTTCCCATTGTTTCTGATAAGGGATCATTAGTTCTTTCCTTCAGGGAATGCCAGCTCCTGGTGGCTGTGCCAGCTTTGTCTGAGATCTGCCACCACAGGTGTCTTCTCTAGGTGTTTTCTCACAGTATTTTTTATCTTCACTGCTTTTGGCAGCCCTTGCCTGTTTTTGGCAGCCTTTTCTTATAAGTTGTGGTTCAGGTTACAAATGTGTTCTAGTTTGCTGAAGAAGGAGTTTGCATTTCTTTTTTTCTCCTTGATTTTGGGTGATTTCAGATATGAAAAGGAGTAACTTTATTCTGCTATCTTAAAACTGTCTAGTGTTGCAAATTGTTATGTGTTCTGGTATTCCCTCAGATTCAACATTAGCCAGAGCTCTCGGAATAGGGTCAACATCTGCTGAAGCTGGGATCTGACAATAGAAACGAAAGAATATGAGAGTTAAGAATAAAATGGAATGGTGAAAAACCCACAGGATACTCGTCTGTGCTGTGTGGCAGCAGACTTCTTTCCTTCCCTACCTGGACTTTGGCTAGGGGTGCACCACTGTCTGGGTGGGAGGTTGAGGCCGGGGAAGGCAGGGCATGAAAAACACCCATCCATCTCCTCATCTGACTCAGGAGAAGTTGTTCTGGGCCCAGCAGCTCTCAGGCCAGGGAGGGGAGGGCACATGCCTCTGCTCTGGACAGGGCTTGGCTCTCCATCTCTCCCCATAACCAGGGCCCGTCCAAGTAGTCCAAGCTCCTTAGGTTCTGGCTGGTTTCCTGGTAATGGTGGCCAATTCCTTTTCCATGAAAACCAGGATCCTGCCTCAGGGAAGGCAATCTGGGGTCAATGCTGTTAATGGTGTTTACATGGCTGAAGAAAGAGCTCACCCATCCAAAGGGAGGGGATCCACATGGGATGCCCAGAAAACAGAGCCAGAGAGGAAAACCTGTTGGCCGAGTTCCAGGACCCTTTATATTATGGTCTCTTAAGTTCCCCCATCACCAGAGGGAGGTGTTTTATCCTCATTTTACTGGCAAGGAATCTGGAGTATCCAAGAGGCTAGGAGGCTTTCCTGTGGACCCACAGTAAGAGATGGAGAGAGGGATTTGGATGCAGTTCTGTCTGGCTACAGAGCCTGGACACCGGCTCCCTTATCCTTCCTCCTCACCTCTATTTACCTCCATTCACCTTCCCATGGAGCCCTCACCCCATCTTCCCACACTGCCTGATGTCCATGTCCCTGGTGACCCTGCTGCACCCTTGTTCTGTGTCTTCCCTCTCAAGCCTGGCTACATTTTAGGAGGTTGTTTAGGCTCCCCAGGACTCCAGGGTTGGGAACCAATGGGCCACACCCTACAGCCCGGTGTCTTGAGCAGCTGTGTGCCCCCGCAGCCTTGGTACAGGGCTTGTCCCTGGGATCAAATGCACCTGGGTTCTCATCCAGGCTCTGATCTTGAGCAAGTCACAACTGCTCTGGGCTCACGCCTTATTTCTAAAATCAGACTCCCTACGATTGTTCTAGGTCTGGAACACAGATCCTGAAGCCAGATGACCTTGGTTTGAATCTTGGCTCAGTCACCTATTTGCAGTGGGACTTTGGCTAATCCCTTATCCTCTCTCTGCCCTTCAGTGTTCTCATCTGTAAATGGTGAATAATAATGTGTATCTCTTATAGGGAGGTGTTAAGGTTTAAACGAACTAATAAACATAAATCATTTAGAACACTGGCATATGGCAAGTGCTAGATTAGTGCCAGATATGAGTGTACGAATTAGTACTATTATTGTGCATGCACAGGGCTCAGCCAAGGCATGGACATAATTGAAGGGATTGGCAACTGGCTGCTGCTGCTGCTGCTATAACCCGTGCCCTTTGCTTCCTTCCAGGAGCTTGGGCCCCTGCCACAGCCCGGTAGAGGCTGTGGAGGTCTACCGTCCGGAAGCCTGGTTCCCAGCCCCGTGGCCCATTCCTGGCTACGGGCAGTGGAGGCTCCCACGAGGTAGCGGTGGCCTGCAGCGGCCCCCTCCCGGCAGTGAAGCATGGGCCAGAAGCTCTCGGGGAGCCTCAAGTCGGTGGAGGTGCGAGAGCCGGCGCTGCGGCCGGCCAAGCGGGAGCTGCGGGGTGCAGAGCCCGGGCGGCCGGCGCGGCTGGACCAGCTGTTGGACATGCCAGCGGCAGGGCTAGCTGTGCAGCTGCGGCATGCGTGGAACCCCGAGGACCGCTCGCTCAACGTCTTCGTCAAGGATGACGACCGGCTCACCTTCCACCGGCACCCCGTGGCCCAGAGCACCGACGGCATCCGCGGCAAGGTGGGCCACGCCCGCGGCCTGCACGCCTGGCAGATCAACTGGCCAGCTCGGCAGCGCGGCACCCACGCTGTAGTTGGTGTGGCCACGGCCCGTGCTCCCCTGCACTCCGTGGGCTACACGGCGCTGGTGGGCAGTGACGCCGAGTCGTGGGGCTGGGACCTGGGCCGCAGCCGCCTCTACCACGACGGCAAGAACCGGCCCGGCGTGGCCTACCCAGCCTTCCTGGGGCCCGACGAGGCCTTTGCGCTGCCCGACTCGCTGCTCGTGGTGCTGGACATGGATGAAGGCACACTCAGCTTCATCGTGGACGGCCAGTACCTGGGGGTGGCCTTCCGAGGTCTCAAGGGCAAGAAGCTGTACCCGGTGGTGAGTGCCGTGTGGGGCCACTGCGAAGTCACCATGCGCTACATCAACGGCCTTGACCGTAAGTTGTGCCGGACTGGGGAGCAGGGCTTTCAGTTGTGCCAGGCCCTGGGAAAGCAGGGCAGGCCACGCCTCCATCGCCAGTTGGGAGGATCCTGCAGTGTGGAGGAATAGTCGGGACCTGGGTTTCAATCCTGACTCTCTCCTTTGCTGGTCTGGTGATTTGGGGCTGTGCCTTAGTTCTCCCATGGGCAAAAGCATCACTGTGATAGTAATCTAGCTCACAGCTGTGAAGATCAAATAAGATCACATGTGTGAAGTGCTCAGAACAGTGACTGGCACCTAATAGGGGCTTTGAGTATTGATGCCAATTACCAGTCTTCTAGTCTGTACAAAGGTTGTACCAAATGACCCAAGCTAGTCACAATGGGAGGATACTGACAAGTCCCCAGTCCCTGCACTTAAATGCCATGTACTCAAGTTATTGATAAGTAATAAGTAATGACAACCGTCCTTTATTGGCCACCTACTGTATTCGAGAGGTTGAATACCCCAATTCCAGTGCTTACGGGCCATCTGCTAAGGGGGGCAGCTGCCTGTCATCTCCAGCCGACTGTCATCTCATGGGAATGAAAACCCTGGGTTGTGGAATCTTGTGACTTTTTCCAAGAGAGCTCAGAAATCTAGATTGTGTGAACTATTCCAATTTTTAAAGTTGACAGCTGCTGAAAACTCTCTATGGGCAAACAAAATACCCTTGCAGGCTACAAACCATCCCACAGGCTGCTGGGGTTGACCCCTGACAACTCTACAGCTTGCTCTCATTTAATATACACAACCATCCGGCAAGATGAAAAGTATAGGAACAAAGACGGTTATTGGTTTCGGGAGGGAGTCACTCAGGAAGACAGGGTGGCCTCTGGACCGAGGCACACGTGGCTACCTGTCCTGAGCTGAATCCCAGCTGAGGGGCCAGGAGCCAGGCACTTGTGGGCTTGCACACTCCCCAACATCAGCCCACCAGCACCCATCCAGACTTCCTGCCACACCCCTAATGAAGCTCTCAGAGGCGATGCTGAAAGCTAGAATTTCCAGTTATTCATTCTAAATAGGAGATGTAATTACCAGCCCCTGAGGCAGATCCTCCTTTTAGAAATAAGGAAACTTAAGAGCAGAGCTACAGAGAGCCAGAATCAGGGTTCCCCCAGTTCTGATGGCCCTGAAGTGCACTCTTTCCCTGTGTTCTCCCCTTTAGATGAGGGACTGAGAGTAACACCCCAGAAAAGAGTAACATTTCTCCAGAAAAGAAGTCAAGGACGAGATTTTACTCAAGCAAAATTTACATTTACTGGAGCACGGGAAGGGGACATTTGATGGTTTCCAAGGGTGGCAGGCTAACGGAAAAGTGGCTGGTAAGCTCAGCGCTCTGGTATAATTGTCGACGTTCTTGCTCTTATTTTATTTCCATGATCATTGCCTACAATTGCCATTGAATGGCAAAATGTTGTTCCATTTTCTCTGTTTAATGGGTTAAATCTAGGAACTGATGATTATGTCCCTGAGAAGGGCAAATTTAGTCATCATGGTGCCTTGTGGAAAGTGTCTGGAGCCTTCTGAGACATAGTGACCAGGCAAATCCCAGTGGTGAGAAAACCAACAGAAACAACAAACAATCTTTATTTAATGGAATTGGAAAATTTATTTGCTGGAATTAATCACTGGACTAGAAGAGTGGCCTCGGTGTACCAAGGCTCTGGAGTCTGATGTGACTTATTTCCAAGTGTTCAGTGGTTTTGTGTCTTTGGTGAGTCACTCTTACTCCTTAAGACTCATTTTACTCATCTGTAAAATGGGATAGTATCAGGTCCCCTTTTTGCTGCTGTAAGCTCTTGTGTGGTAGCACCAATAATATGGTAGCTGAGATTTAAGGCCTGACATTGACACCCAGTGGGAGCTATCAGAGCCAACGGTTATACTCCTGCTGTAGGCTTCCTCTTGGCTATTAATTCACACTTGGGTTTTATTGGGTGCCTGGTTTTCAGGTACAAAGCCAAGGTGCTAACAGGGTTCCAGCCCGTGGGGCTATGCATGTTGGGATCAGGAGCAAGGACCTACCTCAGGGAGGTTGGGTGGGGAAGGGCAGTTGTGTTTGGGGTATTTTAAGCTTATGGGTCCTTCAGGTGGTTGAAAAAGTTTGGTGGAACTAAAATGTGAAGTGTTCTATCTTCTTCCTTACTGGTAGTGATTTTTCAGGTTGGCTGAATCTGGAATATTGAATCTAGGAGGCAAGAGAGGCCAGATGTCATGGGATGCAAGCCTGGGGCATCTTCCGTCCAGTGATAGGGTTGGCTTATCTGCTATGGCACTAGTGTGTTCTCTAGATAGGGGTAATGTTCTCTCTGTCAGACAGGAGTGTGATTGCAGAAAAGGGAAGCTCAGCTTCTCTGGTTTTGAAAGGTCTATTCATGGCCAGCCTGGGACAATCTCCAGAGCGGGCCGTAGGAGAAGCTGCAGTGGAGTCTTGCAGGGATAGTTGGGAAGGGACGATGTGATGCCTATAGCCTGTGTCCTGGGCTGAAGTCTCCCATGAATCCCCGGGTTTGGGACTACTTTGGCTCTAGGGAGTCCCTGAGCAGGGAAGGTGACCCAAGGTGGATTCTGTGGATGGAAAGGATTCTGAGTTAATGTCAGTTGTGGACATGGTGGCAGGTCCCCAAACTCAGACATGATTGGGGTGTGAGGGACCAGAGTCAAAGACATGCTTGGAAGCAAAAGGCAGGCCAGCTCTCTGGAGTTGCTTCCCCACAGGATTATAGGAGAGAACTCTGCCCGGGGCCCCTCACAGAGCCGGGTCAGACCCGGGCCCCAGCACTCAACAAATGGCTGTTGGCGATTGCTTCCGCCTTCTGAACCTCAGTGTTCTCCTTTGAAAAAGGACGAGGGGCCGGGCGCGGTGGCTCAAGCCTGTAATCCCAGCACTTTGGGAGGCCGAGACGGGCGGATCACGAGGTCAGGAGATCGAGACCATCCTGGCTAATACAGGTGAAACCCCGTCTCTACTAAAAATACAAAAAACTAGCGGGGCGAGGTGGTGGGTGCCTGTAGTCCCAGCTACTTGGGAGGCTGAGGCAGGAGAATGGCGTAAACCCGGGAGGCGGAGCTTGCAGTGAGCTGAGATCCGGCCACTGCATTCCAGCCTGGGCGACAGAGCAAGGCTCCATCTCAAAAAAAAAAAAAAAAAAAAAAAAAAAAGAAAGAAAAAGGACGAGGATGATAAATCTCACTGGCACAGAGCAAACACATAGCAATTGGTGCCCCTGCGTTGATGAACTAGGTGAGCTGAGGCAAACTCTGGGGTTCATCTGTGGCTTAAAGCAAAATGGCCTTAATAGAGGCTTTTCCTCTGACATGATGAAAGTAAGGTAATGGATATCGCTTTCTCAATTTTTGAATTTTTATTACGGTAAAAGCAAGACTTAGGGCTCACTACATTTAACTCTGGAAGCATGTGTTTGTTGAGGGCAAGAACTCCTAGAGGTGTGATTTCCTATTGCAAATGCATAACTTTGTCAAACCTTCTGCAAGTGGAATTGTTTTGCTGCACTGTGGAGTGAAATGGCTTAGCATCTCAAAGCTAACTACAAAGAGCTGCAGGATGCATGGAGGCCCTGCCATTTAAGTGAACTGAGAAGCATGGAGCCAAGGCCAGGCAAATGGAGAAGCTGTCCCAGGTTGTCCAGGGCACAAATAATAATAATAATAATAGCAATAACAGCAACAACTAATACTTATGTAGTGTTTAGTCTAAGTGGGTAAGGGGGGTAGTATTCTAAACACTTTACAATTTCTTTTCTTTTCTTTTTTTTTGTTTTGGGGGGTTTTGTTTGTTTTTTAGAGACAGAATCTCACACTGTCACCCAGGCTGCAGTGCAGCGGTGCAATCATAGCTCACTGTAACCTCTCACTCCTGGGCTCAAATGATCCTCCCCTCAGCCTCCTGAGTAGCTGGGACTACAAGGATATGCCACCACTCCTAGCATATATATAAATATGAATGAAACTGGCTCAGGAGGTAATGGCTAATTTATTTTATTTTATTTTTTTTTATAGAGACAGTGCTCTCACTATGTCACCCAGGTTGGTCTTGAATTCCTGGCCTCAAGCAATCCTTCCACCTCTGCCTCCCAAAGCAATGAGATTACAGGCGTGAGACACCTCACCCAGCCATTTTGCAAATTTTAATTCATTTAATTTTTGTAATGACTCTTTGCACTAGTACTGTCTATATTATCATTTTCAGTGTGTGATGAAGAAATTGAGGCACAGAGAGCTTGAGTAAGTTGCTGAAGGGGACACTATGAGTAACTAAGAGAGCCTGGATTCAAATGGAGGCGCACACGGGCACCTTGTGGAGACATTTACCCTCAAGGCAGGGAGAGAATGCGCAGGAGCGTCTACTCCATCTGGCTGGTGACCGTGCAGCCCAGGGCCAGGTCCTTGCCTTTAGCAGTGAGTTTGGGCGAGTCCCAGAAATGCTGTCCCTGTCATTTTTCCTCCTCTGACTGGCTTTACCTCCAGCCCTCAAAGCTCTTGGCTCAGCATGGAACTCTGCAGGGTGTTCTGTTGTACAAAGGCATCCCCAGCAGTGGCCGTGGATCAGGCATTCTTGATCACTAACAGGGGAATGTCATTGTAAATGTCTCAACTACTGTGAGGTGTGGGCCCCTGGGGTGGGCCAGGCCTTTGGAATCTGCTCTGGGCTGCTTTCTGGAATTGCTCCATGGCTCCCCAGCTCCTCTCTCCACATGCTGGCGGCGGGAGGGCTGACAGAATGGCTCTGTCTCACATCTCGGAGTTCCTGGGTGGTGAGTGGTGTGTGAGTGACACCGGAAGCGGAGGGGAGTCTCAGACAGAGACAAGCGGCCTTGGGGTCCCAGGCAGCTTTGATTTGGGGGTATTGATGACACTTTTGTTGGCTCCCATCCATGTTCTGTTCTGTACCCTGGGCTTAGGGTTTTACTCATATTTTTTTTCTTTTCATCGCAATAAGCCATGAGGCAATGTGACTGTTATTCCCATTTTATAGATGAGGAAAATGTCTTGGAAAGGTAACGAATTCGCCAAGGCCACACAGCTAGCAAATGACACAGCTGTGCTTATACCCAGCTCTGCCTCCTATGCCTGGGCCAACCTGCCCAAGCCTGCCTACCACCGAGCGTGGCCCGACCCCACAGAGTGGACGCCAGTGTCAGGGCTGACTTTCACAGGGTGGGGCGTGGAAATGCAGGTATCTTGGGCCTAATGGCTGAGAGGGCTTTCCCCCTGCACGGAGCCAAGGAAGCTGTATTTCCAGACGTCTTTCCTAGATGGTTTAATTGATCTGTCAACAAGTATTTATTGGCTCAATGGCTGAGCAGAGGAGGCTGGCAGCTAGCCAAGGCTTCTGGTATTGATGAAGGCCAGAGAGAGTTTACGCTCCCGATGACTACAAGGACACCATCTCCTTGCCAGAGCTGCACTCCAGACCTTCTCACTAGACCCCCGTGCGTCTCACGGGGTATTGGGGTCCTCCTAGCCTCCGGGACATCTGGACTTGGCTCCTCTGGGCCTGGTCGCCCCTTTGCCCCCATCCCTTATCAATCTGTCCTGACTCCAGCTCACCCCCAGGCCTCAGCTGAGGACTCTGTCTCTGCACCAGGAGTTTAGCGCTGACTTCTCCTACATCTGCAGGGTTCACTCATTTTTCCACCCATGCATAGGCCTTCTTTCCCCAAGTGGTTATGAAGTTCCTCAGGGCAGGGATGGAGACCCAGGAGGCATGCATGGTGAACTGGGAAGATTAGGGACGTCATATGTGCCTATTTACTTGATATCGCTTGGATATTTGTTTCTTCCAAATCTTGTGTTGAAATGAGATCCCCCATGTTGGAGGCGAGGGTTGGTGGGAGGTGATTGGGCCACGGGGGCAGATCTAACATGAATGGCTTGGCGCCCTCCTCGTGGTAATGAGTGAGTTCTCACTATTAGTTCGTGTGAGAGCTGGTTGTTTGAAAGAGCCTGGCATCTCTCTTCCTCCCTCTCTTATCATGTGACACACCTACTTTCCCTTTGCCTTTCGTCAAGAGTAAAAGCTTCCTGAGGCCCTCAGCAGAGCCGTGCCATGTTTGTCCAATCTGCAGAGCGCTGAGCCAAATAAACCTCGTTTCTTTATAAATTACCCAGCCTCAGATATTTCTTTATAGTGACACAAGACAGACTAAAACATTGCTCTTGAAAGGAAAGCTGTACGTGTGGCAACAGATTTGAATACTACCAAAGGGTATATGGTGAAGTAACCCCTCCTCTGTAGGTCGGCCCCCGTCCCCTCCTGCTGGCAGCCACTATTAGCAGTTTCTTGTCTTTCCAGAGATATTTGTGACAGATAATTTTTAGATCATACTGAAAACATTCCCCTATATCTTGTTTTCTCCCTTCAATGGACCTTGGCAGTTATCTAATATCAGTTAATGCAGAGCTGCTTCATTCTTTCTTAACAGTCGCATGGGGCCATGATATAGTTGTGTTATAATCTAATTATTCAGATCCCCATATTTGGACATTTAGGCAGTTTCCAATCTTTGAACATAAACTTTTGATCCCAATTGAAATTTCCTTTCTGCCCCCTCTGGCTAATTAACATCCCCAAGTCTCAGTTTTCCCATCTGTGCAGTGGGAATAATTATATGTACCTTGCAGAGTTGCTGTATTAGAAGTGATGCAGAAATGAAGCATGGTCCAGCACGTGGCTCTCAGTAGGTTAATATTGATATGCGTATCCTGAATTTCTGATTGCGATGCTGAGCTCATTTTGCGCACCTGATGAAGGCTCATGAATGACTTTGTTTCTAGTTTAAAATACAGTAGAATCACATTAATTTTTTCTCTTTTTAAAATTTATTAATTTGATATTAAGGAGGCTTCAGACACATTGTTGGATTAAGATTATTTGAGGTGTCTAATTCAGCCGGTCCTTACATAGTGTATAGTCAACATAAGACACCTAGCCCTTTACTTCACAGAATAGGCCCATAATGTGTGTGTTTTGCTTTTCTGTTATTGCTGCTGCTGCTAATGCTGAAAATGGTGGCTCTTTGCTGTGGCAACTGCATCTTGGCCTTTTCAACCACCCTATAGCAGCCCTTACAACAGAGTACATAGTACGTGCTCAGTAAATGCATATTAATGTCCTGGCCTCCCACCACCTGAATAAGCTTTTCTTTCCTCTGCCACAGGGGGACTTGAGTCACAGTTGGCTGGAGCAGAGGGGCTGGCAATGAGCTGCCCCCCCCCTCACTTGAAGCCTGGCCCCTGAGTGACCCTTTTCCCACCTCTCATTGTGTCCTGTGTACAGCACATCTGTCCCTGAACACAGGCCAGGCATGTTAATTCAGGATCCTGACATTCAGAAACTGCCCCGTACCCTTCGTTTGTAAGGAACAGTCTCCCATTTGAGAAAAGGCCTCGATCAGATGCTGTGGCCCTTCTTTGAAGGAGGTTTTCACATTAACATAGTCATAATTAGGTTCATGGAAGTCTGGTTTGCAGAAAGGTGGCTTGAAATGCAGGTGACAGCATTTGAAATCAGGCTTAATCAGGACAAGCATCACCGTGGGCCACAGCATGGTCTTGTGGGAAGCGCAGGGTTCAGGGGTCTTCCAGCACTGGCTTGGCTTCTAATTAGCTGTGACCCTGAACAAGTCATTTCACGCCCAAGCCTTCATTTTCTCATCTGAAAAATAGAAACTTATTTTGTCACAAGGTGTCAGGATCATGGATTACTATATAGAAAGTGACTGATCTAGTGCCTAGAACATAGCTACTGAAAAAGTGGTAGGTTTAAAAATGGCTAATTATGACTATTACTGTTCTCATAAATTGGTAAAATTACTGTTATTAAATATAGAAATAATTCTGGTTATTAAATTTTGGTCCACACCGTGAAACTGAAGG